CTAATATTGAAATGAAACCGTCCTCTATATTTTTATCTTCACACTAAACGGATCTAGTATTCGGCCTAAAAATTTTTTCGTAAGACTAAAAAAGTTCAAGCAATCGAACGCTCCAACCGCAATGCGAAATTTTAACCAGTTCTGGAGTTATCTCCCGTTAAATTTGAAAAATGCTAGTTTTTAAATCCAGAAATGACACCGTTCTATACATTTATCTCTCCACACTAAACTAATGCAGTTTTCGGTCCCGAAATTTAACCATTGAGCTACAAAACCTCAGGAATTCGAATGCTTTAATTTAGAATTCGGAATTTTGAACCGTTCTGGAGTTATGCTTTGTTAAATTTAAAAAAACTGTTTTTCTAATACTGAAATGACATCGTTCTGTATATTTTTCTCTTCACGCTAAATGGATCTAGTATTCAGTCTAAAAATTTTTTCGCAAGACTAAAAAAGTTCAATCAATCAAACGCTTCAACCGCAATGCGAAATTTTGACCGTTCTGGAGTTATCTCCCGTTAAATTTGAAAAATGCAGTTTTTTTTAATTCAGAAATGACACCGTTCTGTACAGTTATCTCTCCACACTAAACTAATGCGGTTTTCGGTCCCGAAATTTAACCATTGAACTACTAAACTTCAAGAATTCGAATGCTTTAACCTAGAATCCGGAATTTTTAACCGTTCTGGAGTTATGCCTTGTTAAATTAAAAAAAAAAAAAACTGTTTTTCTGATATTGAAATGACACCGTCCTGTATATTTTTGTCTTCACACTAAACGGATCTAGAATTTGGCCTAAAAATTTTTTCGTAAGACTAAAAAAGTTCAAGAAAAAGAACGCTCCAACCGCGATGCGAAATTTTGACCCGTTCTGGAGTTATCTCCCGTTAAATTCGAAAAAAGAAGTTTTTTTAATCCAGAAATGACACGGTCCTGTACATTTATCTCTCCGTACTAAACCAATGGAGGATTTGCGCTTAAAATTTACTCATTCAACTAAAAAACTTCATCAATTCGAGTCCTTTAAACTAAAGTTCAGAATTTTGAACCGTTCTGGAGTTATCTCCCGTTAAATTTGAAAAATGCAGTTTTCTTAATTCAGAAATGACACCGTCCTCTACATTTATCTCTCCACACTAAACTAATGGAGTCCTCGGTCCTACAATTGATTCATTTAACAAGAAAACTTCAAGAATTCGAACGCTTTGAACTAGAATTCGGAATCTTCTACTGTTCTGGAGTTATGTCCCGTTAAATTCGAAGAAACTGTTTTTTTAATACTGAAATGACAGCGTCCTGTATATTTTTCTCTTGACACTAAATAGATCTAATATTCTACCTGAAAATTTTTCGCGTAGGACTAAAAAAGCTCAAGCAATCGAACGCTCCAATTCCCAATGCGAAATCTTGTCCCGTTCTGGAGTTATCTCCCGTTAAATTTGAAAAATGTATTTTTTTAAATCCAGAATTGACACCGTCCTGTACATTTATTTCTCCACACGAAACTAATGCAGTTTGCGGTCCTACAATTCATTCATTCAACTACAAAACTTCAAGAAATCGAATCCTTTAAACTAGAAATCGGAATCTTGAACCGTTCTGGAGTTATGCCCCGTTAAATTCGAAAAAACTGTTTTTTTAATACTGAAATGACATCGTCCTGCATATTTTACTCTTGACACTAAATGGATCTAGTATTCGGCTTTAAAATTTTCTCATAAGATTAAAAGAGTCAAAATAATCGAACGCTGCAAACGCAATGCGAAATCTTGACCCGGTCTGGAGTTATCTCCCGTTAAATTTGATAAATAGAATTTTTTTTAATCGAAAAATGACACCGTCCTGTACATTCACCTCTCCGCACTAAACTAATGGAGTAATCGGTCTTAAAATTTACTCATTCAACTACAAGACTTCGAAAATTCGAATACTCTCAACTAGAATTCGGAATCTTGAACCGTTCTGGAGTTATGCCCCGTTAAATTCGAAGAAACTGTTTTTTTAATACTGAAATGACATAGTCCTGTATATTTTTCTCTTGACACTAAATGGATCTAATATTCGGCCTGAAAATTTTCTCGTAGGACCAGAAAAGTTCAAGCAATCGAACGCTTCAATCCGCAATGCAAAATCTTGTCCCATTCTGGAGTTATCTCCCGTTAAATTTGAAAAATGCAGTTTTTTAAATCCGGAAATGACACCGTTCTGTTCATTTATCTCTCCACACCAATCTAATGGAGTTTGCGGTCCTAAAATTTATCCGTTCAACTACAAAACTTCAAGAATTCGAAAGCTTTAAACTAGAATTCGTAATTTTGAACCGTTCTGAAGTTATGCCCCGTTAAATTTGAAGAATCTGTTTTATTAATACTGAAATGACACCGTACCGTATATTTTTCTCTTCTCAATAAACGGATCTAGTATTATGGCTGAAAATTTTCTCGAAAGACTAAAAAAAAAGTCCAACAATCCAATGCTCTAAACCACAACGCGAAATCTTGACCCATTCTGGAGTTATCTCCCGTTAAATTCGAAAAAATTTTTTTTTTAATCCAGAATGGACACTGTCTTGCTTATTCATCTCTCCACACTAAACTAATGGAGAATTTGGGCTTAAAATTTACTCGTTCAACTAGAAGACTTCAAGAATTCGAATGATTTAAACAAGAATTCGTAATTTTTAACCGTTCTGGAGTTATGACCGGTTAAATTTGAAAAAACTATTTTATTAATACTTAAATGAGACCCTCATGTATATTTTTCTCTTCACACTAAATGGACCTAGTATTCGGCCTGAAAATTTTTTCGTAAGACTGGAAAAATCCAAGCAATCGAATGTTCCTAACCACAATGCCAAATTTTTACCCGTTCTGAAGTTATCTCCCGTTAAATTTGAAAAATACAGTTTTTTAAATCCAAAAATGATACCGTCCTGTACATTTATTTCTCCACAGTAAATTAATGGAGTATTCGGTCTTAAAATTTACTCATTCAACTACAAAACTTCAAGAATTCGAATGCTTTCAACTAGAATTCGGAATCTTGAACCGTTCTGGAGTTCTGCCTCGTTAAATAAAAAAAAAACTGTTTTTTTAATACTGAAACGACATCGTCCTGTATATTTTTCTCTTCACACTAAACGGATCTAGTATTCGGCCTAAAAATTTTTTCGTAACACTAAAAAAGTTCAAGCAATCGGACGCTCCAACCGCAATGCAAAATCTTGACCCGTTCTGGAGTTATCTCCCGTTAAACTTGAAAAAATGTTTTTTTTTAACACGGAAATGACACCGTTCTGTATATTTGTCTCTTCATACTAACCGGATCCAGTATTCGGGTTGAAAATCTTCTCCCAGAACTAAAAAAGTTCAAGTAATCGAACGCTCCAAACCTCAGACGAATTCTTGCTGTGTTGTGGAGTTATCTCTTTTATAATTTGAAAATTACACGATCCTGTATATTCGTCTCTCCAAACTAAAGCAATAGAGTACAGGGTCTCAAAATCTAGTTATTCCCCCCAAAAAAATCGGTAAATCTAGTGCTCTAAACCGCAATTCGAAATCTTGAACCGTTCTATAGTTATGTCCCGTTCAATTTGAAAAAAAAAACTGTTTTTTAATACTGAAATGACACAGTCCTGTATTTTTGTCTCTTCACACGGATGTAGTATTCAATATGAAAATTTTCTCACAGGACTAAAAAATTTCAAGCAATCGAATGCTCTACACAGCGATTCACAGTCTTGAGCCGTTTTGGAGTTATTTTCCGTTAAATTTGAAAGAAAGAACGTTCTTTTTAATCCGAAAATGATACCGTCCTTTATAATAATAACAATAATAATAATAATAATATTTATTGATTCCAACAGGATACACCCACTTACCGGAATCAAGTAAACACATATTTATATTCGTTCCTCTGTACTAAACTGGTCGAATATCCGGTATAAAAATTTTCTCGTAGAACTAAAAGGCTTCGGGGAGTCCAGCACTCCAAACCACAGTTTGGAGTTATTTCCCATTAATTTTGAAAAAATATTTTCATACCAAACGGATCTAATTTTCGATCTGAAAATTGGCCCATTTGACTAGAAAACTCTAAGGAATCGAATGCTGTAAACCGTAGTCGAAATTCTTAAGCCGTTTCGGAGTTACATATGTCCCGTTAAATTGAAAAAATAACACCACCCTATATATTCGTCTAATTTGTTTAACACACTCCCCCATGACCTGGCTTTTTTAATTCATGTAAGTACGAAGGTTCCATATTAATAGATAAAAACCTGACACAACTTTTCGATCAATTTGTTTTTATTTGTGTTTGTTTATGCAAGGAGATTACCTTGCCCCAATTTCCCCTAGATTGTACTTAAATTATATTTGTGTTGAAGAAATTTTATCGTATCAGATATACAATTTTTGAGTGAAATTTAATAACAAACTTTTACTTCCTTGTAATAAAGCATCATATACTTAAAAAGCATTCAGTGTCTGTTGGTCACTGTTTACCCTACTTAACGAAACAACTTTAGACATTATATTTTCTCAAATGCGTAAACATAAACTTTCAAATCTACTGGTAAACTTAGAAACTTTTTAGTCAAACAGAAATCTTCCAAGAACTCTGTAATTCTTCAAGTCATGTTTTGTAACTTTTCAACACTCATTTCATTACTCATGTTTGCACTCACGTGTGAAATAAGTTCTAGATTTTTCGTCATGATCTAGCACACTTGCAACCAATCCACAAACCAGGGCCACTCGTAAATGACCCTTACCAAATTACAACATTACTCATACAAACAAAAACATCTCCAATAAGATTTTAATCTCAAAGATTTAGAACAATCTAGAATCCCCCTAATCTTATCAAACACGTACTCCAAGTCAACACATAATGACTTTCAAAACATGACTTTTTATCTGAAGTCAGCCGCCAAACAAAACCCTCAAAACGTTACGAAGTGTAGATAATAATACGGTAGGTAAGTATATAGCCTCGAACATCGACTCGGCCTGCAGTTGCTCTTGAACCTCCGAGTCGCGTTCGTGTTTCCTGCAATGGCACCTGCTTACAAGCTCACCTATTTCGATGGCAGAGGCGTTGCCGAAGCCGCTAGATTCTTGTTTAAATACGGGGAGGTGGAGTTCGAGGATGTAAGGGTGAAAAGGGACGATTGGCCCCAACTGAAGGAAAGTAAGTCTAATTTTTTTTTAAACACTCGGTGTTTCTTAATTTTCATTGTAGAAACTCCTTTCGGGCAGTTGCCCGTTTTGGAACACAATGGCAAGCAAATTGGGCAAAGCATTTCCATTTGTAGATATTTGGCCAAAGTTGTGAAACTGACAGGAAACGACGACTGGGAAAATTTGGAGATCGATGCGACTGTGGACACCATTAATGACTTGCGCCAGAGTAATATGCATTTTTTTTATTTTTTTGTGCAAAAGGTGTTCATTTTATTTGTTTTTATGTCAGAAATATCAGCAGCTCACTGGGAACAAGACGCTGAGAAAAAAAAGAAGTTGAGAGAGACCCTTCTCAATGAAACTATTCCGTATTATCTTCAACGTTTGGAAGCACAAGCGCAGAAAAATAAAGGCTATTTGGTCCTTGGTCACGTAAGTTATCTTTGTGTTTTATGAGTGAGCTTTTTTTGAATTGTGGTTTGCAGTTAACTTGGGCCGATATGTACTTTACCAGTGGAGGAACCGGTTTTGATCAGTTTGTCGGTAGTAACACGTTTGACAAATACCCGACTCTAAAAGCCTTGAGAGAGAAAGTGGAAGCACTGCCCGCTATCAAGAAGTGGATGGAAGCTCGACCCAAGACTGAATTTTAATTTTTGTATTGTATACACTTTTGATAAAAATTTTTGCATTTCCAATTAAACAAATTCGTAAAAAGTTGAAGGGTTTCAGTTTACACATGAGCATGAGTTGGCGAAATACAAAGTTAAAATAATAATTGGTTCACCCACGCTAGTGCAACAGACAGCTCTTGCGTAACTTAACACTGAGAGGAGTGGTAAAAAAATTGTATACACAAGGTCACATTCTTCACTCATCAAAATGAGAACCAGTCATAATAAGCAGCCTAATTCGCATTAACATATTGGTCTGGAACAAATATAGATATTTTTTGTTTTATAGCTGCTGTGTTTGTTTTACGAATGAATGGTCTAATTGTGATTATACGATTGCCAACAAAGAGAAACAAAAACTTTCCACAAAAGAGACAATTAGTGGAAAGTTTCAGCAAAAATACATTGTTCTTTAATTTTATTTTTATGGTGGAGACATACTTTTTCGTATAAACGAACTACTAAATTTAAATTTGTGTCTCCAACAAGATGTCACAAAAATATTTAAATACATAATTATAGTTATTTTTGTGTAACACTAACAACTACACGAAATGGGCTTTATAAGTAGATAATTTATTGATAAAAAATTGTGCAATTAACTACATGACAACGAATAATTAAATAAAGTGTCACCTTACAAATCTAGGAATTAGAAGTTTAACCGAATCGGTCGGTTGCACCTGTGACGTCACGACTAAACTCGAATCATGTAAATCGCTTAAATTTCATTTTTTTAACAAATAGGTGTTTGATTTTTGGTTTTAAAATATTATAAGGTCTCAATTCGTACTTTACCCATTTCAAAAATTTCGTAAACAAATAACCACTTCTATATGATTTTTCGAGTTAACTCATACCTGCCCGGTGGAGGTCCCGAGATTTTTCAAACTACTTCAAGAATAAAATACAAGGGATCCCCGAGGTTCTTTCAAACAGTTTCACTAACGAAATACAAGGAGTCCCCGAGATTCTTTCAAATTGCTTCAAAAACAAAAAACAAGGGGTTGATGAGATTCTTTCAAATTACTTCAAAAACAAAACAAGAAGTCCCAGAGATTTTTTCAAACTATGTACTTTAAGAACAAAACACATGGAGTCCCTAAGATTCATCATCCTACTTCAAAAATTAAATACAAGGGATCCCCGAAATTCTAATAAATTTAAACAAAAAAAACACAGAAAGATATCCGAGATTCTTTCAAATTACTTCAAATACAAGACATCACAGATCACGGGACTTCGAGAATATTTCAAGCTACTCTAAAACAGAAAACCAGATCCTTTGAATCTATTTTCAAAACAAAGTACAAGGAGTCCCTGAGATTTTCTCAAACTATTTTAAAAACCAAATACAAGGAGTCCCCGAGATTCTTTCAAATTGACTCAAAAACAAGACAGGGGAACCCTGAGATTCTTTCAAACTATTTCAAAAATAGAACACAAGATGTTCCTGGGATTTTTTTTAAATTGTTTCAACAACAAGTCAAGAGATCCCCTAGATTCATTCAAATTACTTCAAGAACAAAATACAAGGGGTCCCTAAAATCTTTTCAAATTACTTCGAGAACAAAACAAGGGATCTCGAGATTCTTTCTAACTAGACCAAAAACAAAACACAAGGGGTCCCCGAGATTCTTTCAAATTACTTCAAAAACATAACAAGAGATATCCGAAATTCTTTCAAACTACGTACTTTAAAAACAAAACACATGGAGTCCCTGACATTCTTTCAAATTACTTCAAAAATGAGACCCTCAAGAAGTCCAGGAGATTCATCAACCTACTTCAAAAATAAAATACAAAGGGTCCCCGAAATTCTAATAAATTTCTTCAAAAAAACACAGAAAAACCTCTGAGATTCTTTCAAATTACTTGAAATGCAAAACATCACAGATCACGGGACTTAGAGTATATTTCAAACTACCCTAAAACAAAACACAAGAGGTCGATGAGATTCTTTCAAATTATTTCAAAAACAAAACCCTCGAGATTCTTTAAAACTTTTTCAAGAACAAAACCCAAGGGGTTGTTTGAAACTATTTTCAAAAACAAAGTACACGGAGTCCCCGAGATTCTTTCAAATTTCCTCAAAAACAAAACACAAGGAGTCCAGAATTTTTTTCAAATTACTTCAAAGATAAGACCCGCAATGGTTTCCCGAGATTCTTTCAACCTACTTGAAAAACAAAACAACAGATTCCTGATATTCTTTGAAACTACGTACTTTAAAAACAAAACAGATGGAGTTCCTGAGATTTTTCCAAATTACTTCCAAAATAAGACCCACAAGGGCTACGCGAGATTCATCAAACTACTTGAAAAATAAAATACAAGGGGTCCCCAAAATTCTAAAAAATGTCGTCAAAAAACATAGAAAGATCTCCGAGATTCTTCCAAATTAGTTCAAATACAAGACATGACAGATCACGAGACTTCGAGCTTATTTCAAACTAGTCCAAAACAAAACACAAGAAGTCGATGAGATTCTCTCAAATTACTTCAAAAACAAAACCCTAGAGATTGTTTAAAACTTCTTCGAGAAAAAAATTCAAGGGGCCCCCGAGATTCTTTCTAATTACTTCAAAAACAAAACGCTCGAGATTCGTTCAAACTTCTTAAAGAACAAAACACAAGGGGTCCTTTGACTCTATTTCTAAAAACAAAGTACAAGAAGTCCCCGAGAATCTTTCAAATTGCTTCAAAAACAATATAGAGGAACTCCGAGATTCTTACAAATTACTTCAAAAACAAAACACAAGTGATTCCAGAGATTCTTTCAAACTACTTGAGTAACAAAACACAATGGGTCCCCTAGATTCTTTCAAATTACTTCAAAAACAAAAGCTACAGGTGGTGCCCGAGATTCTTTCAAACTATGTACTTTAAAAACAAAACTCATGGAGTCTCTGATATTCTTTCAAATTACTTCAAAAATGAGACACACTAGGGGTTCGCGAGATTCATCAACCTACTTCAAAAATAAAATACAAAGGGTCATCGAAATTCTAATAAACTTTTTCAAAAAACACGTATAAATCTCCGAGATTCTTTCAGATTACTTCAAATACAAGACTCTACAGATCACGGGACTTCGAGATTATTTCAAACTACTCTAAAACAAAACACAAGGGGTCGATGAGATTCTTTGAAATTACTTCTAAGAAAACAAAACCTTCGAGATTCTTTAAAACTTCATCAAGAACAAAACACAAAGGGAGCCCGAAATTCTTTCAAACTCTTTCAAAAACAAAATACAAGAGGTCCCCGAGATCCTTTCAACTTATTTCAAAAAGAAGACAAGTGATCCTGACATTCGAAATACTTTAAAAACAAACAAACCACAAGGGGTTGTCCGAGATTCTTTCAAACTACTTCAAAAACAAAACAAGAGATCCTTGAGATTCTTTCAAACTATGTACTTTAAAAACAAAACGCATGGAGTCTCTGAGATTCTTTCAAATTACTTTAAAAATAAGACCCACAAGGGGTCCGCAAGATTCATCAACCTACTTCAAAAATAAAATACAAGAGGCCCCCGAGATCGTTTCTAATTATTTCAAAAACAAGACAAGGGATCCTAGAGATACTTTTTAATTACTTCAAAAATAAGACCTACGGGTTCCCTGAGATTCTTTCAAACTACTTCAAAAACAAAATAAAAGGGGTGGAACCCCCGACATTCTGTCAAATTACTTCAAAAATAAGACCCACAGATGGTGCCTGAGATTCTTTCAAATTACTTCAAAAATGAGACTCAGTAGGGGTCCGCGAGATTCATCAACCTATTTACAAAAATAAAATACAAGGGGTCCTCGAAATTCTAATAAGCTTCTTCAAAAAACACGTAAAAATCTCCGAGATACTTTCAGATTACTTCAAATATAAGACCTCACAGACCTCTTTCGAAATACTTAAAAAACAAAACACAAGGAGTATCAGAGATTCTTGCAAATTACTTCAAAAATACGGCCCACAAGAATTCCCCGAGATTCTTTGAAACTACTCGTACTTCGAAAAGAAAACACAAGGACCCCGACATTCTTTCAAATTACTTCAAAAACAAGACCTCCTGGGGGTTCGAGAGATCCTTTTAAACTACTTCATAAACAAAACACAAGTGTCCCCGAGATTCTTTCAAGTTACTTCAAAAACAAGACCTACAGGGGGTGCCCGACATTCTTTGAAAGTACTTTAAAAACAAAACACGAGATCCCCAAGATTCTTTCAAATTACTTCAAAACTGAGACCCATAAAGAGGTCCGCGAGATTCATCAATCTACTTCAAAAATAAAATACAAGGGGTCCCCGAAAAAAAAAAAGACAGAAAGATCTCCGAGATTCTTTCAAATACACAGATCACGGGACTTCGAGATTATTTCAAACTTCTCTAAAACACAAGAGATGGCTAAGCTTCTTTCAAATTATTTCAAAAACAAAACAAGGGATCTCAGAGGTACTTTTTACTTACTTCAAAAATAAGACCCACAAGGATTCCCCGAGATTCTTTGAAACTACTTCAAGAACAAAACACAAGGGATGGGACCCCGATATTCTGTCAAATTACTTCAAAAACAAGCCCTCCATGTGGTGCCCGAGATTCTTTCAAACTATGTACTTTAAAAACAAAACTCATGGTGTCCCTGAGATTCTTTCAAATTACTTCAAAAAAGAGACACACTAGGGCGCTGCGAGATTCATCAACCTACTTCAAAAATAAAATACAAGGGGTCATCGAAATTCTAATAACCTTCTTCAAGAAACACGTAAAAATCTCAAGACCTCACAGATCACGGGACTCCGAGATTATTTCAAACTACTCTAAAACAAAACACAAAGGGTGGATGAGCTTCTCTGTAATTACTTCTAAAACAAAACCCTCGAGATTCTTTAAAACTTCTTCAAGAACAAAACATAAAAGTTTCCGAGATTCTTTCAAACTATTTCAAAACGGAAATACAAGATGTCCCCAAGATCCTTCAAATTATTTCAAAAACAGGACAAGTGATCCTGACATCCTTTCGAAATACTTTAAAAACAACACACAAGGGGCCTCCAAGCCTCAAATTACTTCAAAACCTAAACCGCCAGGGGGTGCCCGAGATTCTTTCAAACTACTTCAAAAACAAAACATAAAGAGTTCCAGAGATTGTTTCAAATTACTTCAAAAATACGGCCCATAAAAATTCCCCGAGATTCTTTGAAACTATTTCGAAAAGAAAACACAAGGGGTAGAAACCCAACATTCTTTCAAATTACTTCAAAAACAAGACCTCCTAAGGGTCCGTGAGATTCTTTCAAACTACTTCAAAAACAAAACAAGAGATATGCGAGATTCTTTCAAAATATGTATTTTAAAAACAAAACACACGGAATCCCTGAGATTCTTTCAAAGTACTTCAAAAATGAGACCTATAATGGGCCAACGATATTCATCAAGCTACTTCAAAAATAAAATACAAGGGGTTCCCGAAATTCTAATAAATTTCGTCAAAAAACATCGAAAAAGCTCCAAGATTCTTCCAAATTACTTCAAATATAAGTCATCACAGATCACGGGACTTCGGGATTATTTCAAACTACTCTAAAACAAAACCCTCGAGATTCTTTAAAACTTCTTAGAAAACAAAGTACAAGAAGTCCCCGAGATTCTTTCAAACTACTTCAAAAACAAAAAACAAGACCCATAGAGGGTGTCCGAGATTCTTTCAAATTATTTCAATAACAAAATACAAAGAGTCCCCGAGATTCTTGCAAATTGCCTCAAAAACAAGATAGGGGATCCCCAGATTCTTTCAAACTATTTCAAAAACAAAACACAAACGGTCCGTGGGGATTTTTTCAAATTACTTAAAAAATAAAATACAAGAATACCTCAAGATCCTTTCACATTACTTCAAAAACAAAACACATGGAGTCCCTGAAATTCTTTCAAATTACTTCAAAAACGATACCCACAGAGAGTCCGCGAGATTCATCAACCTACTTGAAAAAAATAAAATACAAGGGTCCCCGAAATTCTAATAAATTGCTTCAAAATAACACTCAAAAAGACGTCCGAGATTTTTTCAAATTACTTCAAATACATGACATCACAGATCACGGGACTTCGAGATTATTTCAAACTATACCAAAACAAAACACAAACGGTCCTTGAGATTCACCAAAATTATTTAAAAAACAAGACATCAGTTCTCCGAGACTGTTTCAAATTACTTTAAAAACAAGATCCACAGAGGGTCCCCGATATTCTAATAAATACACCGAAAGTTCCCAGAGATTATTTCAAACTACTTCAAAAACAAAACACGAGGGGTCCCCGAGGTTTTTACACATTGCTTCAAAATCGATACACCGGTGTCCGAATTCAAATTTTATATACTTTTAAATGAAATAATTTTTTTTCGGACTGGTTCAAAAAGACAAATCAGCCCATAAATAAGTTCTAGATACTTCCCCATTACCTTGCACATCTACTTTTTATGAGTATGTTCGATTCGTAATCTGGGATTTTCCCAATCTTATCAAGCATCTGCCCTAAAACTGCACCGGTAAACAAATCTGTTGACACATTACATAACTAATTCAGAAAAATACAAAAAATATGCCAAGCTTTCGATTTTTTTTTTTTTTTTTCAAATACAGAAACATAGACTTTGAAGATATCAAAGACCCATTTTGGAACTGACAGGCAATGATGACTGGGAGAATTCAATTGTGGATTCTTTCTCTGGTATGCGCACGAGTAAAGTATACATTTATTGTTGTGGTGTCCCGATTTAAAATTAAATTTAGCGCCAAAAAAAAAACGAAGAAAAGCATGTATTTTAAAACTGATACGTTACATTTTGTTTGTTAACTTGTCAACCAAAGAGCAAATCTGCACTAAATTAATTAAAACCACACCATTTTTACCCACAAGTGTAATTAGTATAAGACCATTTTATTAACAATCCGTCATACGTATTACGATATCGTCACGAGTTGATAAATCCGTGTATGGTGAATCATTGTGTTCACTAGGCAGCTAAATCGCCACTAATCTCGTTAGTTATTTCACGGCTCGTTTGTACTTATAATGGTAAAATAATAATCTCTACAAAAAATGCATCTCATTTTCTGGTATGACAATCGAGTAATGTGTGCATTTCCTTCTACAGTTACATTGTTATAACACATATCAGTAAATGCGGAATGGTTTTTCTTAAGTTATTATTTACCTCTCATATCTTCTCATTCATATAAATTTGGAATTATGTTTCGAAAAAATTTTCAACTTTTCGCATTCACAATCTAGGATGTTCCTAATCTTATCACAGCTGTTGAAACATTACAAAGCAAATACGCTAGATTAAAATAAAAACCGGCAAACAAGGTCACAGTTGCAGTAGTTCTCGACCTCTCTAGATAAACTTAAAAACGCAATGGCACCTGCTTACAAATTCACCTATTTTGACACCAGAGGTGTCGCCGAAGCCGCTCGATTTTTATTCAAATACGGAAACATAGACTTTGAAGAAATCAGAATCAAGAAAGAAGACTGGCCTCCAATAAAAAACAGTGAGTGTTTTATTTGTATTACGTTCTGAATTTTTAAATAAGTGTTTTAGATTATCCTTTCGGGCACTTGCCCGTTTTAGAACACAATGGTAAAATAATCGGGCAGAGTATTTCTATTTGTAGATATCTAGGCAAAGTTGTGAATTTGGCAGGTAACGATGACTGGGAGAATTTGGAGATCGACGCGATTGTGGACACCATCAATGACATGCGTTTAAGTAAAATAAAAACAATCCCATACTTTAGAAAAATTACCATTAATTAAAACATTTTTAGAAGGAACACTGCCTCAGACGGAACAAGATCCAGAGAAAAGGCAAAAGCTGAAAGATATAACTTTGAAAGAAACTGTCCCTTACTATTTTTCAAGGCTGGATGCAATTGTAAAAAAAAATAACGGATATTTGGCACTTGGTCGCGTACGTTTTAATTTTTACAATTTCACATTTCTTCAACTGTACTTTTTAGTTGACTTGGGCTGATTTGTATTTAATTAGTTTCTCGACAAATTTTGATCAGTTTGTTGGTGGAGATACTTACGAAAAGTACCCAAATCTTCAAGCCTTGAGGAAAAAAGTGGAAGCACTGCCTGCTATAAAGAAGTGGATTGAAGAGCGACCATAGTAATAAAGAATTTTTGTTTCATAGATGCGTTGTTTTCTTTTAATTTAGCTAATTACAATAAACCAGGATGTAACCACTTTTTGTCGTCGTCACGTTTCAATGCTCTTTAGACCTGAATTCCCGCTGAAACGTAAAAATTGCCTAGACAACTCAGCGATCATTGCGCTTGGTACCGCTTAATTTAGTTGTTTTCGAACGTTCAAGGCGAAAACTTTTGTATTTCCTGAATGGCACCTGCCTACAAACTTACTTAATTTGACGCCAGGTGGGATAGAATTTGAAGATGTGAGGGTCAAGGCAGAGGAGTGGTGGACCCAATGGAAAGAAAGTCAGTACAGCTGACACACGAAAACTTTTGTAGGTTACAAAATCTAGAACTGGCATGGAGACCATCAACGATTTACGATTGAGTAAATGGTTGTTTTTGTAATTAGGATTTTTAGTTGACTTGATTGGTTTGTTGGTGGTACCATTTTCGAAAAGTACCCTAAACTTCAAGCCTTAAGAGAAAAAGTGGAAACAATACCGGCGATAAAAAAGTGGCTGGAAGTTCGACCACAAACTGAGTTCTAGGATTTCCATAAAAAAAAATTGGTCTAAAGAGTTTAGACAGTACTTCCCTCGCTGTCGGAAACTTGACGACTGCATGCCTATTATGTTTTTTTTTCTCATTACATTTTTGTAGTGGGAATTTAAAAAAAAATTGTGATGACGTCATCAACATTTTTGCAAGGACACGTATATCAGTTGGGATAGATGTAGTGTAATACTAAGAATAAAATTATTGTGTTCCCAAATTTTCGGGAAAATGAATTGGGTCGTTTTGAATATTGATTTCTTATAATCACTAAATTAACGAAACAATTTACTCACGTATACGGCGCCGGTGTGTAATATCTAGAGAGCGGATTTCTGTCGGGCTAGGCAAGGCCAAACTCGGTACGGCTCGCACGGGATGCGAATTCATTGCCGTTGCGGACTGCACTTCGTTTATTTGAGATTAGAATAACGTTGTTTAGTTGCACTCTGCTGTTAATTCCCGTTCTCATTTACTTAGCCGTTTGATTAATAAATCGTTAATTATATTTATGGAATCCAGCACGTCCCCCCCTATAATCGTGACGTAGCCCGACAGAAATCCGCTGTCTAGTAATATGAGGGGCAACTGAAAATCGTTTATGTATAAACCTTCTTAATTTAAGATGACAAGCGTAACAGCATACGTGAGAGCCAAACAGAGAAACTGTAAACAAAACGACCATCGGTTTTATTGCTTCGACTTCCGCTTATTATATAAAACATTGCGTTTTATTTTAATTCTTGACGGTGAAATTCACAATTGGTTGATTATAAACATGTCTATTTCGCATTCGCGGAACCAAGTGACCGCATAAAACAAATGCAGGTCTGTAATGTTAAAGTCGATGTAAATAAGCGTGCTACCCTTATGTTTCAACCGAGTTTTTCCTTTAACAAATTTTGTGTCTACCAAATTGGGTTGGTTGGGGTGTAATACTAATAATAAGTGTTGCCTTTAATTTAATCAATAAAATAAATTGACTTCATTAATTTTTTTGAACCACCTCTTAAGAAAATCTAAAAAATATGAATGGAATGATAAATCACAAGTACAAACTCATCATATTTTTTGCATTTTAGATAGGATTTATTCAGCAAAATTTAAGGGTGACGTCATCAATTTTTTTAGGAGGGATGAACAAATACATTTTGAACAAAAGTTTACCATGCTTATAATAACTTTAAAATATTCCCAAGATTTCAAAGCATTCGGTTTTCTAATTCCTGATTAAATCGATAAAATAAATTCACGCCTTCATTAATTTTTTTGAGTCACCCTGCATATGCAAATCCAAAAATATGATTGGAATGATAAATCACAAGTACAGACTCATCATATTTTGTACATTTTAGATACGATTTATTCGGCAAACTTTTGAGCTGACGTCATCAGTTTTTTGTAGAAGATAACCAAATATATTTTGACTAAAAATTTATTATGCTCTTTATAACCTTAAAACATCTGCAAGATTTCAAAGCATTCGGTTTTGTAGTTCCTGATTAAATCAATAAAATAAATTTACGCATTCATTAATTTTTTTGAGTCACCCTGTATATGCAAATCGAAAAAATTTGAATGGAATGATAAATCACAAGAAGAGACTCACCATATTTTGTACATTTTAGATGGGATTTTTTCAGCAAAATTTTGTGGTGACATCATAAATTTTTTAGGGGGACGACCAAATACGTTTTGATCAAAAATTTACCATGCTTATGATAATTTTAAAATATCTTCAAGATTTCGAAGCATTCGGTTTTGTAGTTCCTGAGTAAATCAGTAAAATAAATTTACGCTTTCATTTATTTTCTTGAATCACCCTGTATATGCAAATCCAAAAAATATGAATGGAGTGATAGATCACAAGTACAGACTGATCATATTTTGTACATTTTAGATATGATTTATTCGGCAAATTTTCGAGCTGACGTCATCAAGTTTTTGGAGGGGATAAGCAAATATATTTTGACTAAACATTTATTATGCTCTTTATAACCTTAAAACATCTGCAAGATGTCAGAGCATTCCGTTTTGTAGTTCCTGATTAAATCAATAAAATATATTTACGCATTCATTAATTTTTTTGAGTCACTCTATATATGCAAATCCAAAAAATATGAATGGAGTGATAAATGACAAGTACAGGCTCATCATATTTTGTACATTTTAGATATGATTTATTCGGCAAACTTTCGAGCTGACGTCATCAAGTTTTTGGAGGGGATAAGCAAATATATTTTGACTAAACATTTATCATGCTCTTTATGACCTTAAAACATCTGCAAGATTTTAGAGCATTCGGTTTTGTAGTTCCTGATTAAATCAATAAAATATATTTACGCATTCATTAATTTTTTTGAGTCACCCTGTATATGCAAATCCAAAAAATATGAATGGAGTGATAGATCACAAGTACAGACTCATCATATTTTGTACATTTTAGATATGATTTATTCCACAAACTTTTGAGCTGACGTCATCAAGTTTTTGGAGGGGATAAGCAAATATTTTTTGACTAAAGATTTATGATGCTCTTTATAGCCTTAAAACATCTGCAACATTTCAAAGCATTCTGGTTAGCAGATTAAAAATTAAATTTCAAAATGTTGTTTTATAATTTTGATTTTTTTTCCAAAAATCTGGACGTTTCGGGTGAAAAGTCGATTCAGAGTTGTAAACTACATGTGTAGGACTATGTTATTTTATACAATTGAAAACCCATTTACTATGTACAATTTTGAAGTGACGTCATCGCATTAGTGGTGGGGATGATTAGACAAATTTTGGTTAGCGTTTTACCATCTACATGATATTCTTAATATAAGTACAAAATTTCACAACAATCGGTCGAGTACTTTCGGAGATTATCTGTCTAATAAAAATCCGGGACAACAGACGGACAGACGGACAGACGGACGGACAGACGGACGGACAGACGGACAGACGGACAGACAGACGGAAATGGGAGACCTATTTCTTCGTCTTCTAGGGGTCATGAAAAATCGAGAAAACGTAAAAGTAGAGAGTCGGCCGACGGACTCGATTACAATACTTCCTTTGCTTACGCTCGGGAAGTAAAAATGTATAAAAATCCCAGCCGAATAAAATTTTAAAGCATAATATTTCATCCACACTAGAGTAACAACAGATACAACGCATACATAATTTAACACCAGCATTGAGTGGGCGCGAAATTTATAAATAGCACAAGGTCACAGCTCTTCGTTGAGCAAAAAGGAAACCAGTTATTCAAAGTGTACCTACCCATTTATTATAATTTGCATTAAATAACGCACTGGCGGACAACGAAAATAGCATTTTTTTTTATTTCGTCGATGTTTTTCTTGTATTTCCAACAACTACATAATTTTATCTTGGAAAAGCTTGTGAAGAAAATGTCCTGCGAGACCACGTAATTATTTTGCTTTAAAAAATTTGTACACAAATGTGTTGACATTTGAAGGTTTTGTTCAGCAGCTGAACCGAAGAGGGCGCCACTTGTATAATAAATATGAACACACTGTTTATGTTTATTTACCACGTGATTTATGTTGTGTTGTGTAAATTAAAAGCTATTCGTGCAAAACATAAATAGAAATTAATCACTACATTTGTTTACAATTATTATGCACATTTGACTAGATCATTCCACATCACTACTTTCTCTACCGATATGGCTCCTACATACAAATTAACATATTTCGACTTTTGTGGTCTTGGTGAACCGTGCCGTTTTATCCTCAGCTACGGAAGAATCGAATTTGAAGATTTTCGCATTAAATGGGAAGATTGGCCACAGTGGAGAGAGAGCAAGTACACTAATTTCAATTAAATGTTGCTATTTCAAAATTTTAGGAACCCCTTTTGGTCTTCTTCCACTGTTAGAACACAACGGCAAACAAGTCAATCAAAGCAAAGCCATCGCCCGATATTTAGCCAAGAAAGTCAAACTTGTGGGAGATGATGACTGGGAAAATTTGGAAATTGATGCCATCGTTGACACCCTAGACGATTTACGACAGAGTGAGTTTTGTCTGTAAATTGTGTGTTTTTTTTTATTTTTGATTATTATCTAGAGGTCGTGACGATTTTCTTTGAACAAGATGAAACAAAGAAGGAAGTTCTTCGTCAAACTGTAATTAAGGAACATTGTCCTTACTACTATTCTCGTCTAGAGAAAGTGGTTCAGAAGAATGGTGGTCATTTGGCTTTAAATCGGGTGAGTTGTGGAAATTTTCTTTAATTTTCTATTTTTGTTTTGTTGTGTTGTTAGTTAACATGGGCTGACTTATATTTCGCTGCAATTTCTCCGTTATTTGATGCGTTGAGTGGAAATAACAATCTCAGCGATTATCCGAATTTGACGGTTTTGAAGGAGAGAGTCAATGCAATTCCGGCTATCAAAAAGTGGATTGAAACTCGTCCCAAGAGTGATTTCTGAAGTGCTATGTGTTAAATTTTGTCAACGAATTGTTGTGAATAAATTATATAAAAAAAATCTACCATGAAATTTTTAACGGAAGACAAGTCGCTACTTATTTTGAGAATCATGCATTATTTTCTCCTCTATACTATGTTTTCGTAGTAGGTGTCATGAAACGTCGAGAAAATATGAAAGTAGCCATTCGTGCAATGAACCCTAATACTTTCCTTAGTGTACACTCGGGAAATATACTGGCTCATAAGATTTTTTTAAATCAATTTGTCGTTTCTTAGCTCCTATTGATGTACTTCTATACTTGTGGTTTATGAATCCAGTTTAAAAATGACATTAAGGTGATTAACTGGTAACTGATGATAGCGATAATATATTTAAAACTTCGTCGAAAGTTAAATTCAAGAAATTTTAAAAATCTGAAAAATCGAAAAATTGAAAAATCAAGAAATCGAGAATTTGAAAAGCGACAAAATTGAAAACCGGAAATATCGAAATCTGAAAAGTCGCAAATCGAAAGACCGAAACCTCAAAAAAATGAAAAATCAAAAATTTATAAAATCGAAAAACTGAAAAATCCAGAAAATGAAAAATTCCCAAAATTGAAATGTTGAAAGATTGAGAAATCGAAAACTTAAAAATCGAGAAATGAAAATTCATTAAATGGAAAAATTTAAAAAATTGAAAAACGGAAAAACTGAAACATAGAGAAATCGAAAAATGCTAAAACTAAGAACTAGAAACATTGGAAAATCGAAAAATTGAAGTCGAAAAATCGAAAAACTAGAAATATGAAAATCGAAACATCAAGAAATTCAAACATCAAAAGATCGATAAATCGATAAATCGAAAAGCCCAGAAGTCGAAAAACCGAAAAATCGGCTAATTAAGTTAGCAGAAAAAAACGAAAATTAAAAAATTGAGAAATTGGAAAATTTTAAATTTAAAAAAATATGTAAATCAAAACTTTAAAAAATTAAAAAATCGGATAATCGGAAAATTGAACAATTGAAAACTCGAAATATCGAAATCTCGATATATCCAGAAATTGAAAAATCGATAAATTGAAAAATCTAAAAACCCAGAAGTCGAAAAATCGAAACTCCAAAAAAATCGAAAAATCTAAAATTTAAAAAATCGAAAAAATAAATATCGAAAAAGTGAAAATTTTCCAAGATTGGAAAATTGAGAAATCGAAAACTTGGAAAATCGAGAAATTGAAAAATTTTAAAATTCTTAAGATCCAAAAACCGAGGTCGGAAAATTGAAGTATTAAAAATTAAAAAAAACACCTAAATCGAAATATCAGAAAATAGAAACATTTAAAAAACGAAAGAAATACAAATTTAAAAAATCGAAAAAACGATAAATTAAAAAGCCCAAAACTCGAAAAATCGAAAAACCAAGACGTCGGAAAATCAAAACATGGAAAAATTGCAACCTCGAGAATCAAAAAAATCGAAAAGTCGAAAAACCGAAAAATCAAAACAATCGATGTTGCTTAAAATCGAGAAATCGAAAAATTATAAATTGAAAAATTGGAAAATTTAGAATCAAAAAACGATAAATCGAAAAATTGAAAAATCTAAAATTGAAAAAATCAAAAAATTAAAATATCGGAAAATTGAAAAATTTCCAAAATTGAGATGTTGAAAAACTGAGAAATCGAAAACTTGAAAAATCGAAAAACTGAAGTATTAAAAATTAAAAATTAGTAGCTAAATCGAAATATCAAAAATTGTAAAGCTGAAAAATTGAAAAATCGAAAATTCTAAAAATCGAAATTTATAAAAAATTTAAAAATCGTAAAATTAAAAAATCAAAAAACTGAAAAATCGGGAAATTGAAAATCCCAAAACTGAAATTAAACTGATTAAAAAGTCCAAAAGTCGAAAAATCGAAAAACCAAGAATCGGAAAATCAAAACATGGAAAAATGGAAACCTCGAGAATCGAAACATTAAAAGATCGAGAAATCGAAAAGTCGAAAAGTCAAAAAACAGAAAAATCAAAAAATCGATATTGCATAAAATCGAGAAATTCAAAAATTATAAATTGAAAAATTGGAAAATTTAGAATAAAAAAATGATAAATCGAAAAATTGAAAAATCTAAAATTGAAAAAATCAAAAAATTAAAATATCGGAAAATTGAAAAATTTCCAAAATTGAGATGTTGAAAAACTGAGAAATCGAAAACTTGAAAAATCGAAAAACTGAAGTATTGAAAATTAAAAATTAATAGCTAAATCGACATATCAAAAAATTGTAAAACTGAAGAATTGAAAAATCGAAAATTCTAAAAATCGAAATTTATAAAAAATTTTAAAATCGTAAAATTAAAAAATGAAAAAACTGAAAAATCGGGAAATTGAAAATCCCAAAACTGAAATTAAACTGATCAAAAAGTCCAAAAGTCGAAAAATCGAAAAACCAAGGTTCGGAAAATCAAAACATGGAAAAATGGAAACCTCGAGAATCGAAACATTAAAACATTGAGAAATCGAAAAGTCGAAAAGTCAAAAAACAGAAAAATAAAAAAATCGATATTGCATAAAATCGAGAAATTCAAAAATTATAAATTGAAAAATTGGAAAATTTAGAATTAAAAAAACAATAAATCGAAAAATTGAAAAAACGAAAAGCTAAAAATCGAAAAATGAAAAACTTAATCGAAATTTTGAAAAAAGCCCAAAAACTAATATATTGAAAAATTGATATATTATTAAATCGAAAAATCTAAACATTGAAAAATCGAATAAAATTAAAAGAAAATTAAAGAATGGAAAAACTGACAGATCGAGAAATCGAAAAGTCAAAATATCGAAAATTTTAAAAATTGACAAACCGAAAAACCAGGAAATCGAGACGTCGAGCAATCGAAACATTGAATAGTCGGGAAATCGATTAAATGGAAAATCAAAAATTGAGAAGTCAAAAAATTGAAAAGTAGAAAAATCGTAAAACCTAGAAATCGAAAAATCGAAACATCGAAAAACTGAAACATCGAGAAATCGATATATCGAAAAGTCGAGAAATCGAAAAACCGAAAACTCCAGAAATAAAATTAGAAAATCGAGAAACAGAATGGAAAAAATGGAAAATTTTAAATTAAAAAAAAACAGGTTGGGAAATTGAACAATCGAAAACTCGAAACATAGAAATCTCGATAAATCCAGAAATTGAAAAATTGAATAACCGAAAAATCCAAAACCGAGAAGTCGAAAATTCGAAACATCAAAAAAATCCAAAAATTAAAATATCGAAAAATTGAAAAATCCCAAAAAGTCGAGAAGTCGACAAACCGAAAAATCGAGAAATTGATATAGCATAAAATCAAGAAATCAAAAAATTAACAATCGAAAAAAATCAAAAATTTTGAACTGAAGAAAAACGATAAATCGCAAAATCAAAAACTTAATCGAAATGTTGAAAAATTCCAAAACTGAAATATTGAAAAACTGATATTTTGATACATAGAAAAATCGTAAGATTGAAAAATCCAAGAAAATTAAAAGGTTGATAAACTGAAAAATTGAGAAACCGGAAAATCGAAAAATTGCAAAATTGAAGAACGGAAAAACTGAAAGACCGATAACCTTAAAATGTTTGCAAAATTTCAAACCATTCGATTTTGCAATTTCAAACTTTATTGTAAAATGTTGTTATACAGTTTTAATTTTTCGCCAAATGAACAAGTACGTTATTTTATAAATTTTAAATAACAATTTACTACTTTGGAGATGACGTCATTTTGTTGTTGCTGTAGATGATCAGACAAATTTTAGTTACCATATCTACAAAATGCTTTGATCTTCCGCCGGCGATGCTGATTATCTGTAGGTGCTTAATAGTCGAATTCTTACGAAGTATTAACATAGAGAATACATTTTTTTTCGTCTCACATTGTCCTTATTTATCTGTTTCTTAAAACAATTTAAACAGGAACTTGCGTATTTTTCTAAAATTAGCTTTTAATGAGCTCACTTTTGTGTTATGTATATTTCACCGTCATTCGAAACATTTTTATGTGGCATTTTTCTCAGATGTGCACAGTATAATCTGATAATAATTTTAACACAATTTATTAAGATGAAATAATTCTTTAACAGCAGAGACATTTATCAAATATATAACTTGTGTTTGTAAATCTAAACAAACATTTTTTTTTACATTAGAATATTTAACATGCGTCATGTGACCCGTCACAAGTCGTTCCTAGTATCAACAAGTTATGATAAAACAATGGAATGTAATTAACAGTTTTTTCAGTAAGATTTTAGATATTTTCTGAAATCGATTAAGTGGTACCAAATGTAATTATACCCAGCGTGACCATCAAATAAAGGGGTCAAGGAGAAGAATCCTGAGAAAATAAAAATCACCAACAGCTCGTTAAGAGAAAGATAAACTAACAGGTTACTGTTTGACCCATAGATACACTTCAATTTTAATGAATCTAAACTTTTGTAGGGTTTAGAAGTTGATTTTCTTTGATTTCAACTAGATGCTTTAATATTCTCCGTATTATTATTCTAAATCTGCCGGTAATATAATTCGACATCTAAAAACGTTATGGAACTAAAAACTGAATCAATAAACACCACCTCTGCTCTTATTCTGAAAACTATGAAATAATTCTTTACGACCCTGTAAAACTAAGTTAAACACTCAAATATCCTAATTATAGAAATACCCCACAGGCCCACCCACCTATTAATAGACTGCAAGCAAAATCTTCCGCGGAAAACTACATCCATCCTTAAACCCCTTTATCAAACACACCTTTTACAACATTTGCAGGAAGCTTACTCACACATTACATTACAATTTAACAGCCTGAAATATCCCCAACGCACAACTAATAAAAACACGCATACCATTGCCAAACAAGAGATAATGACTGGGTATAAACCCAGCGACCAGCTCCATCAAGCAGTCGCCTCCGAACCTCCGCAGCGTAACGTCGCACGAATTTTCTTCAAGAATGGCACCCTCATACAAACTCACCTACTTCGACGGTCGTGGTCTAGCCGA